GGGAAACAGGGATGTCCGATAGGGTTGCCCTGGGACGCGGGGCCAGGGGAAGCCGAAGGGTCCAACCTGCCAGACGACGAGGACCCCAACACCAGCGCTCCAGGGCATTGGCTAGGCCAGAATTTGGCCAGCTCCCCTCGGACGGCAGGAAATCTACACAGACAACGCGAGCACTTAAAGGATCCAGCAACTTTACACACATCATGGCCCTGCTCACGCAATCTCGCCTTGCGGAGGTTGCTCGAACTGGGGCCTCGCTCTTTGTGGTGCTCTCTACCTAGACGGTCCTCACGAGTCCTCGGGCACAGGAGCGAAACATGCCTGGAGACAGCGAGGAGTCGCTTAACTACACGTAAACAGTTTTCATCTACATTATAGATTTCCCTGACCTTCTCAGCAGGCAGGGCCCCCCACTTGGCAGCTTCCCCCGCAAAGTGATCGGCAACGCCATTGGCGACTAACCCTTGGGGGGTCAGGCGGTGGGCGGAGACCTGCTTGAAGGTGGGGTGGCTCTTGCACCAGTGAACGTCCAGCTTGCCTTCTCTGTTGCCAAGCTGGTCCCAGACCTGCTGCCACAGGTCCAACATGCACGAGTGATCAACTTCGACATCCTTCCGAGCAAAAGCACGAGCGACAGGCAGAAAGTCGGTGTACAACACTGCATCACCGACGACATAACGCAACAGCTGGACCACAGCATACAATTCGGCACGGGGAGAGTTTTGCTCAGCTCCAGGGAGGGTTCCACACAACACGCCTGACACCTGGAGGGTCCCTGGTTGAAGGTGAACAACAGACCAACCACATCTCCTCAACCTCCAATCCTTCGTATGTTCTCCTCCAGACGCGTCACTCCCGAATATACCCCCATGAATCGGTACACCTTCACGAAGCGCCTCGTGAAAAGATCCCCAGGCCCAAACCTTAGCTTCGACAGGAGGTAACACACCAACCGTCCATCCCAGGGGAACCAAGCCACGAGTCCAGAAACACTCCGATTCAGGAACACCAACAAGGGAATCTTCATACATATGACTAGTGAGGTGTATGTGGTCGTCATCAATATTCACATTATCTTGACAGCCCCAATATCTGTGCCAAGGTGTCTCCTGACGAACTCCACAGCGAGGGCATACACCATTGCTGAGGTAGCCGCTGTCCTTGAGGCGCTGCTCTGGCCACTGGCCGCCAGAGACAAGGTGGTTCAAAATAGCAACGCCGTCGAGGTCGCCTTGCCGAGACAGCGAATTCCGCAGCCTACGCAACACAGTAAAATCGACGCCTTCATGCAGACCCTGTCCCCCATACGCCTTAGATGCTTGGACCCAAAGCATACTACCCACTTGTTTTTCAACCGTCTTCCACAAAAAATACGGGAAATCACGTCGGTCAACATGGAGGGTAACATCAGGGAATCTCCACGTGCAGGGCTCCAGCGGGTTCCCATTAAGCTCCAAGACACACATGATGACAGACGCGATGGGTCCCCGCACATGACGCCAACGGTGAACAGGGGGGACACTCCGCAGCTTAGCTAACAACTTGGGCCACACTTTGTTCACACTACAAACTTGGCTAGGGTCGAGGACACGGTAGGTTCGGCTCCATTCCAAAAGATGTTCAAATCGAATCTTATACGCTGGGTCATCAGACATAGCATGATCAAGAGCAAGGAGGGTAGTGGTACAACAGCCTGCATGCCATCGTCCTGTCGCTTTAGCAGCCTGGGCACGGAGAGCACGCATGCGCGAGGGCGGAGTGCCGAGGACTTGATGGCTCCATGTGCCAACAGCGACCACTCCTGGCTTAAACAACTTGCGAGCACGACGATTGACATGAGACAGAAACGTGAGCCTCTTACTGCGAAGCCTAGCTTCTTCCTTGCGCTGAGTCATTTTCCACATCGTCCTCCTCCTCCCCGCCGTGGTCCCAACTCCCAAGTCCTTCACAGAATCAACAACTTTAAGCGGAATATTCAGCTCGTCACAGAGAGCCTGAAAGGGGCGACCAACCTGCCGAGAAGAGGCGACGACACACGACTTCGACGAGATATTACACCCACGGCGTTTCAAAACATCACAAAGTTCTCGCGCAGCTGGCACCAGTTTGGTAAGGATGTCCTGCACAGAGCCTTGGATGCACTGGGTAAGGTCGTCCACATACGCCGAGATTGGGACACGAGGGACACGACAGTGTGCCGCCTCCAAGATATCGTAGAGATAACATGTTATCCATGGTAGGGACTGGGAACATCCAGCTAAAATGGATTGGCCAGCCTGCATCACACCCGACACCAGGGACTGGACCTCGAGGAGCCTGGGGGAGGTGTGGATCAGGAGGCCCAGGTAGAGGAGCAAGGAGGAGTAGTCGACAGCCTGAGCCAAGCCGATGAGCTTACTTGGGTCGATGGTGTCAAAAAACTTCTCCATATCCCAATGGCCAGAAACAGAAAACACTCCCTCCACCCGAGCACACTCGTGCAAAACCTCACGAAGCATGGCGGCCCGCAGGGCCGAGGAGTTCTTCACAGCCGCATCCCAGAAAGCGACGTGAGAGTCGGTCCAGTCCTGGATTTTTTCCCCGCGGATTCGGGTATACAGTCGGTAGAGGGTGGGGCACTTAGTGATGGGTCTTTCAGACGTGGACGTTTTGGGCAGGAGGGTGACCAAACAAAGGTAGACCTGCTGGGGAAACTCAAGGGCATACTCGATGCCATTAAAAATGGTGGCCAGATGATCCAGGGCTTCACCAGGGAGCCGCATCAGATCGCGAGGGGACCACCCGTCCACGCCAAGGGCCGTGTCGGCCGAGAAACACTTGCAAGCCGTGAGCACGTCTTGGCCTTCAATGCTGCGAGCCTCGAGAGACTCAAGCTCAGCGACAGGTCGGAGGCGCTGCATGGCATACTCGAGATCACAAACTTGCCTACTCGTAGGCGTCCACCAGGACGCCCAAAACTGCTCTCGATATCTCATCAGCTCTTGGGGGGTCTGGGCAACGAAAGTG